AGTGCTCTTAACCACTGAGCCATCTCTCCAGCCCCATATATAACTTTATTATTTTAAAAATATTTTATTATTATTATTAAAAAAATATATATATTTATGTGTATTGCCTACATGTATGTGGGTACACCCATATTGTGCAATGGCCACAGAGGTCAGAAGAGGGCATCAAATTCTCTGGAACTGGAGTCATGGGCGATTGATAGCCACCATGTGGATGCAGGTGCTGTGAACCAAATCCAGGTCCTCTGCAAGAGCAGCCAGGGGTCTTAACCACTGAACCATCTCTCCAGCCCCTGTAACTTTATTTTTACTGTCCTCAATGAAAATTTTATTACTTATTACATTATTATTTATTTATTCCTATATTATCCAGCCCATCTTTGTTTTGATCCAAATTTCAGACTTTTTTTTTAGAAAAAAATAACAGGGTCTACAGAATCCAATGACAAATATATACATATTTATACATAGATTTGTTTAAATCTTTAAACACAGTCAGAGATCTGTCAAAGACAAATTCATATTTGTTTGTATATATGCATGTATGTCTTATGTAATAAGAGAAAAGAGTTTTGCTAAAAAGATAAAGACGTAAAGTCAGTATAGTTGTTGTATGTCCTTTTGATGACTATGCCTTGAAGGGAAGGTCTTGCTGTCCTTGCCCATCACTCTCACTGTAAGAAAAATGTGACTTTCTGATGAAGCAAGTGTCTCAGTAAAGTCCAAGCCTCACATTGGAAATCTGGATATTGTCAACAGTCAGCATCACTGTGCTCATGTGGCCATGCACACCACCAATGTGCACACCCACATGGCCAAGCTAATTTAGAGAAATGGATGAAGCCATTTTAAAATTTAGATTCAAGGGTTTGAAGAACTGCATGTCATCCATGGTGGTACTGTGACAGTGTTTTAAGTAGGGTTGAGTGCTTTGTAAAATGGCTCTGGTTGCTGGTGTTCTTGAAAGGAGGTAGTAGGCAATGATTATAATCCCTGCTTTCCAGTAGTAAAGTGGTCCCTTAGATGATAGGTAACTTGTCCAAGGTCATCTTCAAAGTCAAGTTGGGAACTAAAAAGTGGACTTGGCTCTGGTCATGAATATACCCTTAAGTTGCTTCAGTTTGGTTAGTTCACGAAGGTTGACGGCGTTTTCTCCCCTTGACCCTCACCATTGACAGTTTACTCAGAAGCACTTTGCTTAAAACTCAAACCAGTCTGAAAATTTACCATTTTGTATTTAAATCTTTTTTCTTAAATATTTTATTTATTATCTTTATTTTATGTGTATGCGTGCATTGCCTACATGTAGGTAAGTGCACCCATGTCGTGCAGTGCCTGCAGAGGACAGAAGAGGCTGTTGGATCCCCTGGAACTGGAGTTACATTTGTTAGCTGTCATGTGAGTGCTGGGATTCAAACCCAGGTCTTCTGCAAGAACAGTCAGTGCTCTTAATCACTGAGTCATTTCTCCAGCCCCTGTATTTAAATCTTAATGGCCTTGAGTCAAAGAGAGCTCTCATGCCAGTGTGATTGGACTGGCTGTCCAGAGAGCCCTAGGGATCCTCCTGACTGTGTCTAGGCAGTACAGGGGTTACAGGCATTGCCACAATACCCAGCTGATTGTCTTAAATATTGGACATCCCCAAGTTTTGTGTTTTATGTGGTGGTTCAGCTTCTTTTTCAATAATCAATTTATTTTTGAGAAAGTTTAAAAAAAAATCTAAAAGAAAGTGCATTGATTGTACATTTTCTTCCATCCCAGCCTGATTTTTTTTTT